CCACTTTTTTTTTCAACCGTGTTTTTATTAGATCTAGTGTATAGATGTAATAGATAAATTTGGGATTTTTATTTTTTTATTTTTTAAGGTTTAATGGAAATTTAATTGTACTAACTATAATACTTTTTTCTTTTTATGTAAAAAATAAATTATGAAAAATTTGAAGGGTTAAAATAGAAAATTAGGGCGGTTTGGTAGGCCATTCGGATTCCGTTTCTATTTATATTTGATTATGAAAACTGTTTTTGAATTATGGGGTCGAAATAGCGGAAATTCTGAAAACAACGTTTTTATATTTTCAGCTTTTAACCTATTGAATTTGAGACTCTAAAATGCATAATTATATTTAAAAAAAAAAGATAAAAAATTTGATAAGTATATTATTTTATTTTATAAACTAATTTTCTTTTCGTTAAAATTAAAAAATGTAAAATATAGTATATTATTAAATTATATAATATTATAATATTATGAAATAATAATTCTACAAAATTTATAACATACATGTTAATAATTTAATTAATATTATTTTAGATTAAACTAAATATTTATTGGGTAATTATCACTGGTTTACAAACATATTACTGATACATCTTGAATAATTTTTGATATGTCATCAAACACATATCCGTAAATATTTAAAACATGTAATATAATTATGTTTTTCGTTGAATCTATTTTCAAATTTATGTTTTCAAACCACCGATCAATGCAGTTGAAATACATATTCCAACATAAAAGGACTCAAATAACTTATTTTCATTGGATCTTCTGAGCAAAATTTGTTAAAATTATATAAATCATTTTGTCAAATCATTATGTTTTTTGTCACATTTGAAAAACTAGGTTTAAATATTATTTTGTTTCTATATTTTATACTTTAGTTATTGTATTTTTTTTATTCATTGTATTTTAAAAATATTTTTTTTGGTCCATGTACTTTAAAAAGGTGACAAATTTAGTTTCTATTTACAAAATGTTAAAACAAATTTTATATACAATGAAATTTAATTTGAAATGTCATTCTAAAATTATGATAGAAAGAAATGTAGATGAATGTAAAAATCAAGGGACCAAAATAGTCAATTTTTAAAAGTACAAAGGACTAAAATAAATGTTTTAAAATTACACGGATCAAATGAACTAAAGCTAAAAATACCAACAGTAAAATAATATTTGAATAAAAAATATATATAACATTACAAATAGGATGGAAGTTATTAATATCTTCATCAATTAAATTATATTTAAGAATTTAATCCACACTGGTACGCTAATTCAATTTCTGTCTCGTATTAAAAAATAAAAAATCTATTTATGTCAGAAAACAATTTAGGTATAAATTATTATTTGAATATTTTATATTTTTTTCACAGTAATTTTTTTGTAATAAAAAAATTTATATTTTCAAGTTAAAAAATTATCTTGTTCACTACCAATTTCATTTTATCATCCACATTTAAGAGAGTTTTTGTAGAAGCTGAAAGCAACTAATTTCTTATAATTCTTTTAAAAAGAATTGGCTAAAGATTTTAGAAAGTATTTAAAAGTTTTTTAAAGGTAGCATTTAATTTGTATTTAATAAGCCAAAAGCAAACATAGTTTAGTGATAATTGACATATATCTCCAATCAAGAGCATCATACTTAAAAAAAATCAAAAAAGTTATTTAATGATACATTAATTAAAAAAAATTGTATTCAATAAACAAAAATCATATTCTGCAAATGTTCATGGCCCATTGGGCTTGTCGTGCAAATGTCATGTCTAATACTCAAATTGGGCTTAATGTAATTTTAGGGTTAATTTGTGATTCTATTGGACCTGCAACCAAACAGATAAGTTTGGCCCAATAGATCATTATTTAGGGCTGGTGTTTTTAAAAACTAAGCTTAATGTTAGACAAATTTTGAAAAGAAAAAAAAAATTAGAAACTCGTCTTTGTTTTTGAAATTTGGTTAGGAATTAAAATATTTTTTCAAGAATGGTGAAAAACTAATGAAATTGTACATAAAAACAAGCATAGTTTTTTAAAAATGAAATTTTTATCAAACAATCCCTAAATTAAAGTAGTGAAACAGTTAAAACTACTGAATTAAAATTTGACCCAAGCGGAATAGATATCAAATGTAATTGGCAATTATTTTTAATTTACTATAT